AAAAGCGTGTGGTACCATACAAAGTATGGTGACGTAAATCACGCGTGCTACCACGTAATGTTCATTGAATTTATCTGACTTAGCGAATATTAAATAATTAAATATTTAAATACGCGTAATAATCCAATTTTTCATCAAATAGAGTAATTATCAATGATGTCATTTTTAAAATATGTGACAAGATTGAATCGCTAAATTTAAAACAATGGCTAAAGCTTAACCAATCAGAAAATTCCATTTCGTTTTCCGCTCATTCCGCTGGAACGGTTTGTCATTGAATAATCTAACGTCAACAGTGACCTTTCTCATTCTTTGAACTATCTGTATGCCAAATTTCATAGCTTTTGGTCGGTAGGTTTAGGAGTCTATCAAGGACCGACAGACACACATTCATTTATATATATATATAGATATAGATGTGCATTGTCAAAATTTAGTAAATATAATTCGCATCTAGTTTCTCTTAATGTATTTTGTATTCTCAGAAGATTTATTGAACTTTATGCTTTAGTTGCTTACAGTTTCATTATTATATATATTATAGCCTGAAACTTCTTAGTATTAAATGTGAATAAATAGAAATAATATTATTAAGATTCATAAGAAAATCAGTATAAGATTACAATTTTTAATGAATTGCCGCTTGACAGATCAAAATTAATATCTATATTAAATGTTTAGCTGTCTTTATTGACATAAAAAAATATTGTAATTGGCAGTTCTCTATTAGAAAATTAAAAATAAACAAATAAATAAAAATAACACAGCTTTTATTGCCATTTCCAGTGATTTTAGAAATTTTAAAGCTAAATAAAGTCATTAAAATATTCACTTACCTCCTTTTTCTAAATTAAATTTTCCAGTTTTGGACATTTTAATAATATATTATTGGGCAACCGGAGATATTACAGCCAACATTTTTGGCATAATTGATACGTCACACATCGATGAATAACTTTAATGAAAGGAATGAGAAAAAATATTCTACACTAAAATGTACAAAACTATTCCCAAACTTTTTCAACTATCAACTTTAATTTTTTTACCAATTCGAAAGAGTTATACTTTTTTGCCACAGGCTTATAATTGGCCAATAAGAGTACTGGCGGTAATTTAAACACTATTTGAAGTTTTAACTTGAGAAGTTTATCAGAATAATTAAGTGAAATAAACGATCGTCTAAACTGCCACCATTATTATCAAAAATTACTCACGCAACCACTTAACACGCGATGATAATATTTTCCCGTAAGTAGCTGAAGAGTGCGTTTCTCACAAAAATGATATTGCATATTTAATTCAGATCAGAGTATATGCAAATATGTTTATCCTTCACGCTAAGCGTTTTCTATAAAGAATGTCTTTATTCGCATCGAAGCGCTCGCCAAGTGATGATATATAGTGATACGAGTAATCAGAATTTATTCCAAATATATTCGTGACTTTCGGTTAACTAAACTAGCTCTACGTTTTGGCATTTGATAAGTAAGTGTTGAATAACTAATCTACAATATATTCATTTTCACTTCCTTATACAATAAAAGATATACCTTGACAATCAACATATGTTTCATTATGTAATAAATGAAATAAATGTAATTTATTATTTTATATATTATTTTCTGCAATATTTTTACTTTAATATAACATAAAATATGCTTGATTATAAAGAGATTCATGCTAATATTTAGTTTCAAATTTTTTTTACAGAATAGCAAAATACTGTTTTAATTTTTAATTAGGATCAAAGAGAAGATGCAACAATGCAAGTCTTATGCATTTGCAGCTTATTTTGTTTAAAAAAAATACGCGGAGAGAAGGTTAACATACTTTTTACAGAAACTGTGAAAACCAAATTTTCCTATATTTCGTCATAGGAGGTTAAGAATGACATTGCTCCAAGAAACCTACTCAAAAATTTAGTTATTTCTAGAATGAAATATGTTTGATCGAAACATATTATTCATTGAAAAATAAAACGAGAAAAAAGTTAACTTATCTTATTTATCTAAGCTTATTCCATTTATTTAATGATAGCTGGATTAACGTTAAGGATATGTGTTGGAAGCCCCATTTACTAATAAACTATCAATCCATTAAATTATATAGCTTGAATAATTTATTTCAAGCACTGGCACCACCTTTGATGGAGAAGTAGTGGCCTTGAGTACGGCCTTGCAGCAGCTACTGGCCCTCCAACACAAATTTGAAAATGCAGTCCTCTTCTCGGACTCACAAGCGGCCATACAATCAATTAGCTCACATGAACGTCTCTTGACACATGAGATTTCCCGATGTTAAGACCTCTTGAGGTCTTTATTTTTGATGGGAAAACGAATAGTCCTCCAGTGGGTGCCAGCCCATTGTGGTGTTTGTGGCAATGAGCAGGCAGATTTACTTGCCAAAAAAGGTGCCAGTTTGCTACAACAATCGAATACGGCAACTTCCTTTTGGAAAAATCAAACTGTTCCTTAAAAATTTATGTAAAACCAACTCATTACGAGACCTTCAGACTCGCACAGCTTTGAAAAGTTGGAGAAATGTAAGCTCTTCCTTAATTCTTAACAAACCAAGACGTGATGCAGTTGCGGCCTTCTGCTTATATACAGGCCACGATTGTCTTTCTGCTCACTTATACCGCATAGGCCTTTCCACCACGCCTTTTTGTCTACTTTGTAAATCTGGAGAGAAATTGGGCAGGGACCACCCTTCATGAACGCACTGAGTCCTCAAGATATTGGGAAGCAAGCGAACTTTTAAGGCAATGACTTCGGTCTTCTTTCTTTGTTATCATACGTACATTTGTATTCGTTATTTATTTCATCTTTCTATTTGTACCTTTCTGCCTTGCCATTGGAAATAAAAAAAAATAAAAAAAAGATTATTTTAAGAAAATTATTTAATAATTTTAACCAAATAAGGGTGTAAAAAAAACTCGAACGAAATACACTTAAAGTTTAGCCTAAAATATAGATAGAACAAAATTTTGGAAACGATAAATAAAAAATACCTTTTCAAACAACTTCGAGTAGGAAGGAAACGCTAACTAGTTTGAAACAGCTGTCCTTGTGACTATTTAATTTCGAGTCCAGGTGCTAGGGACATTCCATTTTCACATTCGACTTTTGAAACTTCAACTGTAAACGGATTTTTTTTGTCCTTAAAAATGTAGAGGATTGCAGCAAAAGGAAAATTGCACTGCATTAATTTTTTTAGAAAGTAGTAAATTACTATTTTTCTCAATCTAAGAACCTATGCCTATATCTTACGTAAAACTTATTCTAATATCGAGTGAAATAATTTAATATGCTGTGTTACTAAATGGATATTCACAAGAAACTGAATCGAAAAAAATAATAGATGATAATAAAAATAGACATGTTTTGAGACTCCAATAATCACAGGTCATTCACGCCTGACAAGTGTTGAGAATGGGCGCTTGCATTTGATAGCTCGAAACGTGTCGACTTTTATTTTCAGTTTCAGAGTTTTCATCATCAATTATATTGTTTTATATTTGGGTCGTGATCAGTAAGGATTTTACGTTCGTTAAAGTAATCATATGCATTATAATATTTTTACAGGATTCATGTGGTCTTTAAAAACGTAAGAGACCCGTAGCATTAATATTGATCTATTAATGTTATCTTTATTTATAAAATTAAAATTTTGAGAATAGATATTTTAAGTTAATGAAATTGAATATTTTATCTTTTAAGTTTTTGTGCCCGCATTTTAGTATCTTATGGACCTTACGAACTCTATTTAAAAAGAGAGTATCGTATCAGATATATGTAAGAAACAAAATCATATCAGTGGTATTTGGCAGGGCTATTTTGTGGTAAATGCAGCTTATCGTAATCAAAGAACATGCTGTGCGACATTTTATGGTGAATTTGCGAACGTAAGTTTCAGAATGTATTGAAACATGAGAATGCTATTTGCAAATTATCTTTATCCAAAGAAAGCCATGTAACCTAAGCATGTAGCAGAATGAAGCGATTTTTTAAACAACGAATCATACGCACAATGAATATGCAACATATTATTTTGATATCTTATTCTTAAACATAACATATTTCAATGTTTTTAAAATGCCATTTAATATTCAGCAAATCTTTGAGTTATGTAAAAAGAAGTATCGTAAATTATAAAAAACCTTGTGAATGTGTATTGGAATTACTATACAATCTATATTTTATGTTTCAGGCACTTTTTTTTATTTCTTCAAACTTTCTTGCCTAGAAGACTCGATTAAAGCTGTAATAAGGATTATCCCTAAAATTTTGTTTATAGTTATAATAGGTTATGTAAATTTGATTGTAGTATGAAATCCTAGTATAAGTATGGTAATAACAACATAAAAAATCTAATTAGTGCCAGATAAAAAGTTCATGTACTTAAATTCTAAAAGCATAAAAAATCATGAATTATTTATAAATCCATTCAATTTTTCTTTTCAAAGGACATTAAAAGAAAATATAAATCTTTGCTTTTTGAACAGAAATAAACTTAAAAATTGTCTGTTGTTTAGAAACTCGGAGATATTTTCTATTAACTATTGATTAAGTCTCTCCAAGCAATCACTGAACATTATTTAAATTTTTTTCAAGTCAGAACTTGGTTGCTTAGCAACGGAGTAAAATTAAGTATTCCTCTTTTGAATTTGTCAATGGGTTTTCTTAAAATATTCATTTGCGGTGGCGACTTTTGTTGGCTGTTTTCTGGACTATCGCCAAATATATAAATCTTTATTGCGATCCAATTTTTTCGAAATTTTTTCTGCCCCCTTATTTCAAGGGTCACGATTCCAAATATATAAATACATATATAAATACATATATATGTATATATATGTTCATTCAGAGAAAGTACGTTTTTGTGTATGATTTCGAAACTTAATTAAGAGTTAGCACAAATTAATTAGCATATTTGAGGTCCCCCCCCCCTGAAACCATTAAGACACTTAGTTTGTGAAAATCCGATCATAAGAACCAAAGTTATTCATGAATATATATTTTTTCTTTCTGCCGACTGTACATAGCATGTAGATATTCCTTCAATAATCACACAATTTGATTTGTAAAAGAGAAAAATATTAAAATTTTGTGATAGTAACTTCCTTCTTGTCTATGTTTTTTGAAGGTATATCTGTTTTTGTTTCCACTTTAGTGTCTGTTATATATGCTGGATCATATGGTTGAATTTCAGCAGAACCTAAAGTTAGGAAGGTCGCACCAGATACAAAAACAACAGATGCGGCAATAAGGAACATTTTATGCCATTGGATCATTGTTTGCTAAAATAAAAAATCCAAAATAAGTCATGCATACTTCATTTTTCAATATATTATTAAGGATGGTTCAAAAATATATGTCGAACAATGTAAAAGTTGGCAGAAGGTACCTAATACATTGGCATCTTTCGTATAGAAATGTTTGAGCGGAAATACCGCGTTAAGCCAATAGAGAGACAATTGCTTACTAATACACAGCAATCCATGAACCGCTGTGAATTTGATTTCCCTGTTCGTCATTGCTCTTTCGACCAGCAGTTGTAAACTGTAATTGATTGTAATTTGACTGTTCAATTTTGTATGAGAATGTAGATGCTAAAATGCGAAGTATACGTAGCACATTAAGCATTAATCCTAAGTAAGCAAAAAATCAAGTTCGACAAAAGAAAATGATTTATGAGCAGTTCACAATAGCTACCAATCAATAGTTTACAATCACATTACAATTAATTTTAGTTTACAGTATCTGCTTGATAGTAAGCAACATTAAAGTTGCAAGCAAATAATATTAAACAATAGCGCTCTCTGTCGGCTCAAACCGACATTTTCGCGCACATATTCTTTTATGAAATATGCTTCTTTAGGTCCCCTCTACCTCCCTTTACATTTTTGACATATATTTTGAACCAAACTGTTGTGATAAGAAATGACAAAAAAGGTATCCTGCGATGCCTTTAGTTCATATTATTTCAATTCTAGTAAGGATTTAAAAAATTCTACAAATTCAACAAATTAATTAATAATTTCAACAAATGTAATTCTTAAAGATATTGCTCTGTTATAAAATACGTGATTGTACTAACTAAGATAAATATTTACTATGAAAAAAATCATTTTTATTCAAGGTAATAAAAATGCAAAATATAATATTTTAAACTTTTCAATAAAAGTTAGTGAAAGAACTCATTTAATTTTTAGTTTTAACCAAGCGCCTTAATTTCGTTTTGCAATTGTTAATTTGTATTAAATATATTTTATGACTCAGTCTTTTTTGCATCTATGCGAGACGATTAAACATTGCTTCTCCTTTCTTATAAATAATACTTTTAAATAATACCTTTCTTATAAATAATACTTTTACTCATTTTTGTGGGGAAATACGATTGTAAACAAATATTTCGATAATTATTTTTGTACAAAACGTCAACAAATATCCCGGTCGTAATTTTGTTATTTAAAAGAAAAGGGACATAAATATTTGAGGAAGTAGTGTTTACTGATATAACTCAAGCTGTTTTTATAAAGCCATAAAATGCACAAATTTTGATAAAACTGTTCTGAGGAAACAATATTACGCAGCATTGGTAGTACTATCAATTTTATTTATAGAGTATTAAATTTTAAGTTCCTTTTTTGTAGCACATATATGATTAATATTAAATCCTATTCAATTACTTTTTTTTCAATTACAATTTTATTCAATTATTATTATTGACAATTTTATTAATATTAACAATTTTATTGATATTACGTATATTATTAATTAAGAATTACCTTTCAAAGGCTGGAAGACTGCAGAAATAGATCATAGGACTTATGTCTTCCACTTGCTCTTTCTTAAATATCAGTGCATTTCTAATTTATTTACTATATTAGTGTTTCATCGTTAAAAGATGGTCATTATGATTTAAAAAAATATTCTAGCATTATAAATGCTAAGTATCGAGTTTCGTATTCAAAAGATTTCTTTTTTGGACTTAAAAAGTAATATAATTACAAAATAATTTTTTACAAGAAATTTCAGTTCTTTCAGAAATTAAATTAAAGCAAATGTTTATGATGGAGTTGTTATTTTATAGATTTACCGAAATTTTTCCTCATGAATAAAATGGTAAAGTTTTAATGGTGGATTATATTTCGCGTATAAATTTGTCATAGACTGTAAATACATAGTACAGTTAAATAGAGATGTCGTTAATGAAGAATTACAATATTTTTTGTTCCTAATAATAAGAAACATTCACAAAATTCACCAAAAATAATTAAATATCATAAAAAAGTATTAAATATCATACTTCTTCTTTCGTTAAATACCCAATGAGAATAGGCATTATGAAACCAGATAAACTAGCTACCGTGCTTCCTAATCCCATAATAATTCCTGAAAAAAAATAGAAAGTGATGTTAAATTACTGGCAAAACTTTGTCGGACATTTTTACACTCTGTACATTGAGAAAAATACAGAATACTACCAGAATATGATTAAATTTTCGGTATTTCTGACTCTATAGGAACACTATAAAACTCTGTAATTTTTACCGAAGTGAATGATTTTTTATAAAATTAGCACTAAAATATGGTTTTGTAATGAGTGATGAAATATGGTAATTTTATCACGATAACTTGGAGCATGGCGTGAAATCCATTTATTCGGTTAAATTTATTTTTCGATTTTGAAGTTTTTACGAAATGTGTAGCAATAACAACTATAATTTTGAAAACCAGAATAATGTGTAAACCATAATCAAATGATGGAAAACTACTTAAATAACTTTTTATTTCATTATTGTTACGGTACAGTAAATTTACCAGAATTTGTTATTAGAAATTAGGTGCGTGAATGTTAACTTAAAGATCGAATTATTGACACTATTGTCATTTTTCAAAAAATACTTCGCATAAGTTTAGTTTACTTTTAAAAGCAATTATTGGCAAAACTTTATTAGATATTTTTAATCACTGATATATTGAATAGGATGAATGTGGACAAAAAGGAGGAATTATTGACTTAACTGTGCTTTTCAAAAAGTACTATTGCAGATTAGAAAATATATTTTGTATGTATGTGCAATTATAGATAATCTGCAATCTCTCTATAATAAAAAGTTTTCGATTAGATGACTTAAAGCTAGAGAAATTAAAATATTCCGGAACCCATTCTTTGACTTAATTCGAACAATTCTTGCATAAAATTTCTCAGAAAATTCAAGCACAAATCTTGAGCCGCGATGGCTCAGGGATAGAGTGTTCGCCTTTCAACGAGGCGAACCGGGTTCGAATCCCAGTCGATACGAATTCCGCATCCGGCTTGCATCGACCACTGTGCTGACGTGAAATACCCTCAGTGGTAGAGGGATCATGGGTTAGAGTTCTCTTGCCATCAGGCTAACCGTGGGAGGTACTCGTGGTCTTCTTCTCCATGCAGCGCAAATACGGGTTAGCTCCATCAAAGAGTCCTCCACGAAGGCAAATTTCTCTCAATACTCGATCCAGGAGTTCCCTTGTCTTCTGGATTGGGTTCAAATTACAAGTCTAAGGAGTTGATCATTAGTAGTCGTAAACCCATAAAAATTGGGTAGGCTGTTCAACGACGGTTATAAAAAAAACACAAATTTTATTAGGCTTTAAAATTTAAAATATTTTCAAATGAGTTAGTTTAAAAATATTTTTAATAATTGTTTAGTAACTTAAAAAAACTATTTTTGACTTTTTATCGATAGAATTCGAGAAAACATTAACAATGTCATTATGTTATAATGTCAGTCCAGGGCTCATATGAGAACAAAATTGCTTTGGTCTTTAATGCCCATATTTTGTTTAAAATATTTTTAATTTTAAAATATCTAAGAGTAAATAAAATCATTTAAATAAATATTCAAAGTAAACATTTAAAATAATAAACACTTATTATACATAAATTTAATTGTGGAAAAACAAATTTTAAGCTTTTGTGACTAAGAACCATCCTTGCAGTTTGGTACTTATCAACGATCATACAATGGAATTATCATGTGTTTTTGGCCTTAAAAATTTATACAAAATAAAAGAATGTAATTTGTGACAGTAAAAGAGATAATACTTTTTTAATGAAAAAATCTTATTCTTAAAGCATTTTTGAAAATTTGAAAATAAAAAAGAGAGGAATAGTAAGCAAAGTTGATTTTTTTTTTTTTTTTTTTTTTTTTTTTTTTTTTTTTTGTCGTATGCTTGTTTAGGCAGTGGGGGGGGGGCGATTATTCATGTTTTTGTGGCGCCATCTACGGCCAGGAATTTGACTTCTGCCACGCCATTCACACAACCACAACCAGTTTATAGGGCGGGTCACATTCACACACAAAGGAGAAAGGACATAGAATTAAAACACACAGAGAGAAAGAAACATCCATGCCTTGCCCGGGATTTGAACCCAGGACCTTTCTGATGCAAGGGCAGTTCCCTGCCCCTTACACAGCCCGGTCGGCTCGAAATTTTTTAAAAGGATAGTATCTTTCCAAAGCATACTCTCAAAATAATTTTCGAAAATTTTGACTCAAATATTACTGTAAAATATCTGTCCGTATAATACTATTCAACTTTTAAAGTAAATTACTGTAAATGGAAACTTACGGTTGCTAAAATTCTATCTACGGCGTTGTAATATTTTATGCTAGTTAAATACTCGCTCTTTGCTCAGGGAGAAAACAAAAAGAAAGTAATTCATAATTCAGTACAAAATGAAATCATGCACAAAGCAGAAAGTTTTATACCGATGCAATTCATAATATTTTTTAGTTATTACTTTTATAGTTATTATTAATTTTAGTGCTTCAGTTGGCTTTACATTGTTAGAATAAGCAAAATACGCTTTTAAAATTTCGCTCCGTCAGAACTAAGATCAACTGTATTCTGCTGTACTGGCCCAACTTCTTATAGTCTAAACTATCCACAATCAAGCAATTTCCTCAGGTATTTATTCTCTTAGAGCGATCGCAAAAACTTATTTCTCCAGCATCTATTTACAGCTGTAAAGTATCCATACAGTCTTAAGTGGTACCAAATAAAGTAATATAAAATTTTGCACCTGTATTAGTGTATTTGGTATACATTGAAACAACATTATTGGCGTCGAAAATAGCATGGAAATTTTTTTAAATGCTTTTTCTTAATGAATTAGCACCATTTCATAGTCAGATTGATAGTAGCTGTTGATATATCTACTAACGCTTTGTGGTTATTTTTGATTACTTTTACTTTTACTTTTTGAATTTACTTTTGAATTTACTTTTACTTTTACTATTACTTTTTGAACTGCATTGTAAAATACATATCATTTAGAAGAAAAATAAAAATTGACATTATATTTTTGACACCAATGTTGCTTAATTTTTTTTTAAATTAGTAGCTATTATTGCAATCAATTAAGCAGCATTGGTGTCAAAAATATAATCTCAATTTTTATTTTTCTTCTAAATGAATATGTATTTTACAATGCAGTACAAAAAGTAATAGTAAATGTAAAAGTAAATTCAAAAGGTAAAAGTAAAAGTAATCAAAAATAACCACAAAACGTTAGTAGACATATCAACAGCTACTATCAACCACGAAAAATTATATAATTATTCGTATTTAATACTAATTTTACAATGTAGCTGAAATTAACTAAAAAAACGTTGGTTATCTATCAACAGTTACTATCAAACACGAAAAGTAATGTAATTCTCCGTTTATGATAATAATTTTAGAAAGAAGTAAAATAATTACTAACCACAAAACGTTGGTGATAAATCATCAGCTACTGTCAAAGATCCGGCGTATGAAATCCCTATACTGATTGAAAGTTAGTTTTTTGTATATAACTTTTATTATTTTTTAATTAGTAGCTAATACTGAAATCAATTAAGCAACATTGGTGTCAAAAATATAATGTCAATTTTTATTTTTCTTCTAAATGAATATATGTTACAAATTTTACAATGTGGTTCAAAAAATATTAACCACAAAACGTTAGTTGATATATCAACAGTTACAATCAAACATGAAAAATTATATGATTATTCGTATATGTTACTAATTTCATATTGTAGTTAAAGCATCCACTTAATATAAAAATGTTGGTGATATATCATACTATCAAGCACGAAAAATTATATTTATTCTACGTTTATGACACTAATTTTACAATGAAGTTAAAATAATTACTAACCACAAAACGTTGGGGATAAATCAGCAGCTACTATCAAACATCCGGCGAATGAAAACCCCACACTGCTTGACGCCATGAAAAGGAAAATTTCGTTTACAGTTTTGTCGCATCCTGATAAATACAGACCAAGCATTCCAAGAATGTATAAAGAACAAGCTGAAAACCATAAGGGCTACTTATAGTAAGTTGTTGTTAATTAATTTCATTAAAAGATAAATTATAAATACAGATATACAAAAAATAAATAAATATTATTCATATTGATAAAAATAAAAAGTAAGATTTTTTTTTTTTTGAATAAAGGTTAGATATGGATTATTTCTCCGATGAAACCTTGTTTATAACTTATATTTATTAAAATTTGAAATGCTTTTTTGCGAAACATTAATTTTTTCTAATATGCAGAGTATTATTGTGCCATTGGTAACACGGTACTGAATAAAATGGTGGCTTAGTTTATCCCCACCACTGTCCATGACTTTCAACCGAAACACTTCCACCTTTAAGCATAATTTCAAGTTCTATCAGCAATTTCTGTAATCTGAGATAGGTCATGAATGGTGATAATCTTTTTATCTGGTTAGCTTTGACAAAACGTTCTCTTGTTGACTGCTACAGAGAGTTCATGTGGTTCTTTTGTATTCACACACTACCGATACAACTGCTTCTTTCTTGTTTGCCATGTTTTTTATCTCTCTATGTTTGTTCTCTGTATGATTCTTTTCATTTTTCAAAGAAGCTGTCTTTAAATCTTCAGGAAAACTGCCCTAAATAAAATGCGTGCTATTATTTTTTGTTGATATTTTTGACTGAATATACCAAATCATTAGCCTTTTGTTTTGTTTAGCCATTTCCCAAATTTTTATTTACTATTTTCCAAAAGATCAACATCTTAGCTTGGCTACTATACTAAACTGCAATGTTTCTTGACAATGGAGAAATATGCTGAGGGAAAACGAAGAAAATAGTTCCCGGCGCGATGTCTGTATTTCGAGGTAAATTACGCATTTCACAATAGAAATATGATAAGTTATCTTAACCCACACATATATAGCGTTAATTTGCTATAATTTTCTTAAAATTTTATATATTTTCAGATTTACGAGCGGCGCATCGCGGAATGGTATCTTTATTTAGTTATGTTTCTTCTATATAACGACTGAACTTATTTCTCCTTCTTCCTCCGCCAGCCGTGACGTCATTGTCAAGAAACTTTGCATTCTAGTATATACGTATTTTAACAGCGCACAATATCGACTTGCAAGAAATAGACTATCTCATTAATAGTCTGTTAACTTGGTAACCATTCTGGCTATATTGGCTACTTTTTTGGTGACAAAAGCCTTATCTATCTTCCCGAACTTTTGAAGATCTAGATACATTAGGAAGCAAGGTATCTTAGAACTCATTAGATGCTTGGCGGGATTTCTTCTCCAAAATCTGTACATAATTGACCATTTCATTATTGATGCAAGAATCAAAGTACTTTCTTGCATGAATCGGGAACCATAGTTTTATATTCAGGGCAGATTAACACACCACTTTTACCTTAAAATGATATTTATTTATTTATTTTATTTTATTTTTTACATTTAGGGTATTATAAATTTGAAATATGCATAATTTTTAAAACAAAAGGATTTCACAAGCTAGGCTTATTTGCATTATCCCTAATCCCTAGTAATCCCTAGTATATATATATCGCTGGTTCAAAACTAAAACGACTCTTCTACACTCACTTCTCATTCAAATAGCATGAGAAGTGAGTGCAGAAGTGTCGTTTTAGTTTTGAACCAGCTACATATGGATGTTCATTAATTTATAAAAATACTGGAAATTTCAAGTTCATAATAACCTCAACAACAATTATATACTTTTAAATGACTGCCTTTTTCAACAAACTAATGGTATCCATATGGAAAATAATTTTAGTTCTAATATTTGCAATATTTTTCTTTTTCTATAAGAATATAGATTCATGAGTTCATACGTTAATCTTCGTATTAATTCCTTCTTTCTCAGATTTATTGATGATTTTTTAGTTATTAATTTTAATGATCTAGATATTTTAGCTAAACAAATATATCCAAGTGAGCTAATTCTTAATAAAACTAATATTAGTAATTCTTTAGCAATTTTTTTAGATTTAACTCTTAATATAAATGAAGACAATAAAATTACCTTTAAACTTTTAACTTTTAAACTTTTTGACAAAATAAATTATTTTAACTTTCCCTGCTATAAATGTCCTACTTGAAGGCTTGCACGGCAATGGAAAATCCTGCTTGACGCAACGGATACCGGCGCACGTGAATATTGAGGGAAACGAATGTGCGGATTCCTTGGCTAAGGAAAGCAGAGGTGCCGACCAACCTTGCACCACCATCACACTTGCAGATACAAATACAGTTGCAAGACACAGACCTCTGCCCCATTCCTTCAGGAAACCCCTCATTACTGACTTTGATTGTTCCAGAATCTTAACATCAACAATTACAAGACTAAGAACAAACTACTTTAAAGGGATGAAAATTCTTTCCGACAAAATAAGAACTTATATTACCTGCAAAAGAACTGCACCGATATCCAACTTACCCCAAATCACATTCTCGAGTGCCCAGCCCTTACCCCATATGTTTTACAACTGGGTATGGTGCCACTGGCTTCAGAACTTCGTGGGAACTCTACAGGAATGATGTATTGGAGCTAGCGGATGCAGTTTTGAAGGCACACGAGGCCATTTAATTGTCCATGGACACGATAAAAAAATTAAAATAATTTTTTTTTTTAAAGAGCATTGATTTTAATTCCATTTTAGCAAATAAGGTTTTTCCAATATCATTACAAATCAGATTCATAGGGTTTGCAAAAACAATTCAAACTATAAAGAATATACTTATTCCTTATAACGGTATTGTTAAATGAATTCAAAATATATTTCACCATATGATGGCAGCACTAAAAATATTATTTGCTTCACATTTTTTCTACCAAATATATTTTTAAATTTATTTTATATGATTTAAGCCATAAACAATGTTTTTTATTCTTCTCTTCTTCGCGAAATTTTGTTGAATGTTAAAGTAGTGAATCTATTTTAAAATATTTTTTACTTTTGTTCCACGCCGGTAAGTTTCTTTTCTACTTTCTTTTATCTCTAACTCATTTTTAACTCATTTATATTTTGGCGATATGGACACATTATAAAGAGTAATTTTTATTTTAGGATAATTATTCTTTATTCAGAAATATCGCATTTATCGCAAAGGTTGTGTCCTGATGACGACCTTTAAGCTTTCCCATTAAAATTTTTTCTGTTTTATTTCATTTTACTCTTCTTCTTTTATGTTGAAGATGGTGTTTAAACTAAAGAAAAACATCACAAATCATACCTTAGTTTTTCGAAATCTTTTAATGAATCTAATTTACATTACTATTTTTTATAAAAATTCTATTACCTTTATTTAAGAAAAGTATTCACCATCTACCGCATGCAATCATCATATAGCCATTTTAATTATTTTTTGCCTGAAAAATTTATTATGAACACTGCGATGTTTAACAAATGTAGAAATTTAAGTCGGATCAATTTAAATCAAGGAAGAAATATTTATGACATGTACCTTGAATTTAATGCAAGACTTTAAAAAAAAAACTTCACCATTTTCGTGTTATAAGTCTGTAAAATCCCCGCTGTGACTTATGTTACCTCGTATTTATATTCTTCTTCTCATTGGCACGACAGCCCAGGATGGGCCTTGGCCTTCTCAGTAAGCCTATGCCAAAACATTCTTCCCTTAGCCAAGGTTCTCCAGTTTATTATCCTTAAAACTTGTAGGTCCTTTTCAACGCAGTCTAAAAATCTTAGGTTTGGCCGTCCTCTTTTTCTTGTATCTGTTGGCCTGGCACTGAAGACTTTTTTGGTTGTCCTGCTATCCTCCATTCTTATGATGTGGCCTACTCATTTAATCCTTTGAATTTTGATAAATTTAATGACACCAGGTTCTTTATATGCTTTGTAAAGTTCCGTGTTTGATCTTTTAAACCAGGTACCGCTTTTACTTATTCCACCAAAAATGCTTCGCAGTATTTTTCTCTCAAAACTAGCTATCATATTTTCATCTCCACGGGTCATTGTCCAAGTCTCACATGCGTATGTAAGCACGGATCGTATAAGACATTTATAGAGTAACACTTGTTTTTTTTTCTTCTTTTTATTAGACTTGACTTTTAGATATTTTCTTAGACCATAGAAACACTTATTGACCATCGTGATTCTCGAGTGTATTTCTTGTGTAGTGTCGTTTTTGCTGTTAATCTTAGACATCAAATAGGTGAAGCTATCAACGGCTTCGAATTTGTCTGCTCCAATTTCAAACTGTGTTTCTTCATAGCCAGCTTTTGTGCATGGCATATATTTAGTTTTATTTTCATTGATTCTTAATCCCATCTTAATGGCTTCCTTCTCCAGACACAATATTTATATAGTTGAAATTTTAAAAACATTTAATTAAATTATTACTGAAATTAATTTATTATCGGCTGAAAAAAAAGAAGAATTGCCGTAGAATCAGATAACTATTTTCTCCGTCATCCACGCAGTTTTCTGGTTATTAAACATTATATTTATCCAACAAATTTTTACTCCAACAAAATTTCAGCGGAAAAGCAGTTTTCAGCGGATCGAAACTCATATAAGTTATTATTTATTTAAGAAATTATTAAATTTTATTCTAATAACAAGAAATCTTAAAGTCTTAAAAGTTTATTAAAATATAAGATACTTATAATTTTCATTGTTTTTTTAAGTAATAAACCAGCTATGTTTGTCTGAAATTTTTTTAAGCAACTGTGCCAAGTCAAATTATGTAATTAAAATCGTTACAATTTAAATATTATTAAAATAGAAAAATCATTATTAAATATCAACTTTTCTTGCCATTGTCATTCAATATATTTCATGATACATATATTAAAGGGTATTTAAAAGTAACTATTAAATCAATAATTAAGTAACCAACTTTCAGAATAAACAATGAATTCCGGGAATGTAGCTGTATCACTGTAATATCATGTATTTCATTTGCAATCTTTTAATGAAATTTCATGAAAATTCATTTGATATCATTAACTTAGCTATAAATTCAATATATAGCTGTAAGCCGTTTAAGTAATCAAGAGCCTAAAAACTAAGTAATTGGTTGCTAAACGATCCCTAACCCCCAAAAAGTTTTTGAATGAAGTCATAAAAAGAAGTGCTTTGAAATATCAAATATTTAATTGCCAATGTACAGTGCACCAAAAGAAAGAAAAAAACTGAGTAATTTTTGATCTAATGAGCGGATCTTCGCCTTCTAGGACTCAATCTAAATGGTTTAAGGGGGTGAGTTTAGATTTGCTAATAAATTAGTGCAAGATGACTTTTCTTTTCAAATTACGAAATCAGACGAAAAACGTGATTTCGCTGCATAAACATACCTTTTTTTCAACGGATTCAGGATTCTGACCCCCAAAATGTAGAGAGTAGCTGTCTGGGAAAGATGGTCCTCATAGTTTGGTCAGGAGAACGATTCAAAGTTTGGACCCCTTAAAGGTAATTTTATTTTTTGCGCATTTCGCTAGATCTGGAGAAGCGAATTCAAACATATTATAGGCGAATTGAAGAAAAATTCTCACAAATATAAAATTCGTTTATTCAAATATAATTCTTTGCAAAAAATAAATTTTAATAAATATTTTTTTATTATTATTTTATTTAGCAATGATCAAAAAATTTTGAATTGTAAGGTATATAATTTCTTGCATCATTTTAAAGAATGTAATTTTATGTGTCAAAATACAATTTATTCGATATTTATTTTATACCTTTCTTAAATTATAAAAAATGAAAAATATTTACTAACAGTTATTTTTTGCATGGAATTATCTTTGGATAAACGAATTTTATAATTCTATGCAAAAATGTTTCAATTCGCTTAAAAAGTTCTCCAGATGTAGCGAAATACGTAAAAAGTAAAATTAACATTTGGGGGTCCAAACTTTGGAGCGCTTTCCTGGCCAAACTATTAGGACCATATTTTTCAGATTGCGGCTACTTCCTATTTTGTGGTGGTCAGAAATCTAGATTCCGTCGAAAAAAGGCATGTTTATTCAGAGACAGTATGTTTTTGTAACTGATTTGTAACTTAAAATGTCGTTTGCACTAATTAAATTGCATATTTGAGGTCACCTCATTATACCAATACGATTGAGTCCTAGAACGTGAAGATCTGATCACTAGATCAAAAGTTGTTCAGGATGGTCCGTTTTTCTTTTTTTTTTCCCTTCTTTTTTTTGCTGTACTGTACATACGTAATTTAAATTGACATCATTATTTAAATTTTAATCAATACATATTTTTATTCTCACCTAGAGTATTATATCCTTTTCTGATAAAGCTAATGCTCTTATTACTCCTATATTTTAGCCAAACTGAAAACCAGCAGGCGATAAAACCTGTTAATACTTGTGCCAGTTGTGGTCCTGAAGTTAGAAGACCATTCTGAAATCCATTTATGGGAAACAAAAGAAACATATTAGAATTAAAACAAAATTCAAATTGTAAAAGTAAATAGAAATGATTCTGATTGTGCCATAACTCCAAATATTATGTTTTTAGGATTTATGCTACTTTAAGATGATAAATTTATGTTATTTTTCAATGACTAAAATTACGTCAAAGTTTTTTTTTCAACTACATCTTTTCCATGGGACATTTATCTACTAAAATGTTTAATTTATTTGTATCAAATGTATTTATTTTATTTAGTATTTTTGTTAAATAACTTCAATGCAAATATGTACAATTAAATTTTGTTGGAAGCAAGAGGATTTTTTTTCATATCAGTGCGCACTCGCTAACAGTAATAGCCCAATAAATCTGACCAGTTGTTATTTGGAATAAATTTACAAAAATATGTATATTTGATAGCGTGGGGGTTTTCAAGTTTATCCAATTTTGGCATAAATTTTTTTCCTGCCAAAACTGGGCAATCACTATGGAGCAGGAAACGATAAGAAAAATTTTCTTCATTAGTTTCATTTTTCATAATACAGAATAATTTTATTAATCTTTTATTTTTATACTTTTATGATAAATTATATCAAGAATATCAGTTTTATAAAATTGATCATTTCTTAATTTAATAACATTAATACGTTTATAATGTATTATAATCAGTTAATTCATGATTAAATTATTTCAACTAATCCACAATAGGTTATAATAAAAATAATAATGGATAGAAAATTGATTGGATTTGCATTTCCGATACTTTGAGATATCTTGTTATATTTCATTAATCGCAAAATTTAAAGATTCAAAATGGAGAGTTTTCTGAAATGGTTTTCTTAGGCTTCGAATCGTATGAAGAAGAAAAATTAAGCTTTTGTTTAAAATCTAATAGCGATAAATTTGAAAAAACTATTTTGTTTAACAAATGACAAGTTAGCAACATTGAAACTACAATTACAGAACTACATGTTTTGATTAAAATGGTTTTGAGATCTTCTGTTACTAAGTCAACCTATAAAAAATATTAAAACATTTCGAAGTAAATATCATCATCAATAAAGTGGTCAACAATCGAAATACTTAAAAACATAATTATTATTTTATAGTTGTATAGTCTGTATGTGTACTATGTCTACGTCTGTATGTATACTATGTATTTGGTAAATGGAATATTATCATAAAACAAAATCTTTTCACCCTAAATATCTTTCTGTTTAAGTTCATTTCACTAAATGGAATTAATGATATTGGAAACGCTTGGTAATTTAAACGAAGTAATTGTCATTATTCACAGTTCTCATCTGTTTATATTATATTTATAATTCTCTTACGTGGCTCCCAAATTTTGGCTGCATTTCTTTTTTGCCGGTGGCAACGTTTGCTTTGTTTTGTTTACGTTACTATTTCTCTTACACGGCGAATCGACCAATGATGGCCGCTAAAAATGTCACATGCCAAATCTAGCTGAGGTGGCTCAACATACAGCGCTTTTAAAAACGGAAACTGAAATAACCAGAGAGCATCAGCTGCGGCAATCTCATACTATTGAGCTAGGCAGAAGTGAGTAGTCTTTGTCGATAGATCTCTGTTTTAGTATTTTGTCGAAAGCGCTTTTTTTCATGAATTTATATATTACGAATTTATTTGACGATTTTCGATTTACATTACGAATTATGCTATAGCCCATTTCTAATAGGTTTAACGAATTACATGTCATTTATTTGAATTCAAATTTATTTTAATGACTTAGTACTAAAAGTACCACGGTCAAAAAAGTAGCACTATTGCAAAAAATTGGTATCTTGGAGTGAAAATTCTGAATTAACATATTAATAGAAAATTATAGAGGAAAGAATATTGAGATTCAATTATTTTTTTAAACACTCGAACAAACTGGGTGTAGAGTAAAAAAATGATCGCCCTTACTTACTTTTAATCTACATGGAGAAAAAAGTTTTGGTAAAATATCCGTACTATGTGATAATGACATTTCTGATTTTTAAAAAAACAACATAATTCTCGTTTATAAAACCAAAATATACTGTATTTACAACCATTCATTTGGTATTATTTGCATTCACTTTTTAATTTTACTCCGGTAACGTTTCACCGGAAATTCTGGTTTTCAAACATACAGTCCTTATTACCACACATTTAGTAAATAGTACAAAATTGAAAAGTAAATTTAGCCGGATAAATGGTCTGTATGCCATAAGCTAAGGTATCATAATAAAATTACTAAACTTTGCCACATTTACCAAATTTTATCACAAATTATAAAACCATATTTAATTGTTAATTTTACAAAAATCACAACTAAAGTGCTTTGGAAAATAAAAAGCCTATTGGTGTATCTATAGAATCAGAATCGCGGCAAATTTTACCATATTCTTGTAGTTTTCAAGATACTTTTTTTCTTAGAGTATTGATCGAATTTTCTAGTACTAAGACTCTAATAATTCGCGAACCAATAATTTATAATAATTAGTTAAAGCAGACGCAGACGATATTTTAAAATACGGAATCAGGTGCAAAAAATACTTTCTTTGAATAAACTTAATCTTTCTTTGACGGATTTAGATTTGTGATTCACAAAATATGGGTTAAGCCGTATTTTCTAATATTGACTTCTAATAGTTTATAGAAGAACGTTTAAAAGTTTTGATAACTTAATTCCTTCTTTTACTCATTTTGCCACATAAAAGAGAAGTCATATTTTTAAAACTTTATTTCCAAAGAACAATTCAACCAAATCTTTTCAAATTTTAAATTATTTAATTAAAAACCAAGAATATTGAATTGTGGTTAAAATTTGTGAATCTTAGAATTCAAAATTTTTCTACCATTATTAAATTTAATAAAAAAAAACCCATAATTTTTTGCATAAAATTATCTTAGTATAAACAAGTTTTGAATTTGAACTAAAAAAAATCATAATTCAGTTCATTAGTTTCGGGGATATGATGAAATATACACCGAAGAGCCATTACATTATGACCACCCTCTATCCATAAAAATGGGCTCGCCCAGGTTTTCATGGTTTCTTGCTCAGGAACAATGTTTTCAAGGGGCACATTAGGACCCATAATCCTCATAGAACAATTCCTGACGTCTGTAAGCTACTTGAACATAGTTGCAGACCAGGTTCACCCATTCATAAGAACAGTTTTTCCTGCGGGGGATGGTGTTTACCAGCAGGATAATGCACCATGCAAGGGTCGAATCGTCGAAGAACATTCCAGTGACTTTCAAGTCTTATCTTGGCCCCCAAATTCGCCTGACCTTAATCCAATAGAGCATTTGTGGTCCTACTTGAAAAACCAAATTTGTCCTGCCACGCTACCCTCTCGCAATGTGAGGGAATTGCAGGACCAGTTGGTGAGCGATTGGTACTACCTTGGTACTACCTCAGACTACCTATCAGCACCTTGTGGAATCAATGCCATGGCGGGTGCTAGCAGTTTTGAGGGCTAAAGGTGGTCCTACATGTTATTAGCAGGGTGGTCATAATGTAATGGCTCTTCGGTGTATAAAAAAGGAAATCACCATCAAGCGATCTAAACTTTTAATTGTTTCTTTTTTCTTTGACCAAACTATTTGGACCAAAATTTCTAGATTGTGGCTTCCGCAATAATCTGAAGGTAAAGATTCAAATTGTTCGGAGCCTTAACATTCGTACTAAGAATTTGTCTTTGATCCATTAAGTGTGAGACTTAAAGCTTAAAAATCTGATTATTAAATCAAGAGTAATACAGGATATTCCTTTTTTTTTGTGGGCAGGGTACTCTTATGTTAAGTCTCAAAGGATTATTCATGCATCCTGTGAGACTTAACATAAGATAACTTAACAATATGATGTATTTAGACCAAAATTTCTAGACTGTGGCTTCCGCAATAATCTGAAAGTAAAGATCCAAATTGTTCGGAGTCTCGCCCTTCCTACTAAATATCTGAATGCTCTTGATCCATTAAGAGTAATATTTAAAGCGTAAAAATCTGATTATTAAATCAAAAGTAAATTAGGATGTTTCCTTTTTATTTAGGGTAGGATATTCTAATGTTAAGACTCATAGGATTTTTCATGCGTTGAAAAGTACTCGAAACTTTGCAATAATTGTTTTTATTGTATTGTTAAGATGCCAAATTTATTAGAAATAAAGAGGAAAAAATACGGAGGAAAAAAATTAAAATTCAGCATAAGCATTACTTTTTACTCACCTCTTTTACAGGTATATGAAGAATCGAGTCCATATAGATTGGATGAATAGTTAGAAAATAAAATACCATCCAGTATTGTCCAAACATTGATATAAGTAATGCATAGGTCGGTAAGGAAGTTAGAATTCTTTTCCATGGGATAGGAGGATTCTATATAGGGCATTAAGTATATCAGTGCTTTTAAAACAGAATTTATCATGGTATTGTATTATGTGAAATAAGAAAGGATTGTGGAAAATTTAAATGAAAGTTAAACCAAAACAGCTTAAAGAAACAATAAAATCATCTATTACATTGGTAAAAAGTGTTCACTGGAGGCATTTAGTAATAAATTTTATAAAAATTAAATCACGCAAAGACAAGATTGCATGAGATTTTACTTCTATTGAATGGTATTTATAAAGAGATTCAGAGTCCAAAGGGATAAAAGAATAAATTGTTCTTTAAGAATCAACATGTAAATGAACAACTAAAGGTTTGACATTTTATCACTTATCAGAATAAACTACTAAAATTTTTTTTCCTTTTCATTGAACTTCTTTTAACTTTTGGTAATTTCACTAAAAGTAGGTGCAATGTACTATGACTGTCTTCATAGAATAGTACTGAATAAAATTAATAAAAGGAAAGCATATTTGTTGAGAACATAAGCAAGTAAAAATAAGATTTTCTTTAACAGAATAATTAAAAAATATATATAATTTCTAGATTGGAATGAACTACAGTAAATTTTGCTAAATTTTAGATGATTTGCATCTTACTGATATGTTTTGTAAGTAAGTTTTCTAATGCTTTTAACCAGTATAAGTTCCTTAAATATGACTTATGAAGGGTCCCATTGTTTAATAGTTGCGCAAGATAATATGTTACATTCACGAAATATATCGGCAAGCTCTTAATCGATTACATTAGAGTCTTAATTACCACAGTTTAGTGGATGTGCCCGCTTAATCCAGTTTAATGCGGTCAGTGTGAAAAGAGGAGTTATTGGAAAATGACGCAAAGCATAAATAAATTTTTTTTTTCGAATTAGGCATTTAGTGACAAAGACACTTGAAGTGTTTGTAAAAGTGTACGGTTTGAGAGCAGTGGGTAATTATTTCAGTTTTATGTTGTTTAAGCACTTCAGAGACGAGAATAATATATAAATATAATAAAAAGCGCTGCAACTCATCAGCAGCTGCATTAATAATACATGCATTTGATCGAAAAATGTGTCGGGTTTCGTTATGGCAACGTAGTAAACGTCAAAAGCTTTCGGTCATGTTGAGATTGATTGGATCTTGAATTAACAACAATAACACGAGAACTCAACGATTTTTTTAATCCGTATTCAGTGTAAAACCAAATTCTATTCTTGTCCGCTTTCACATTACCACAACATCAATAGCCATCCTTTCAAATAATTAGATTAAAGATGTTGCGTCATAAATGAATAAAAGTGAAGGTTACGGTTTAGGCATTATTGGATATTGTAAATCCCAAAAAGTAAATTTAAGTCCCGCAGTGGACTGATCGTTAAGACACGGTTCCCAGCAGATCACCGAAGTCAAGCATCACTGGCTGTGGTCAGTGTGCGGGTGGGTGACCCACTTCGATCAGTCTGCGTAGGGACCGAGGGTGTGCGGTATTGGTCCTCGTTAAACTGTGCTACCGTAAAGTGCTCAACTTCGCGTGCATGTCGTCGGGCTACCGAAGCGGGGGTGCCATCCCCTCTGCAGAGGATCAAAATTGTGATGGCATGTCTTCGGATCATCCTCAGGGATGTTTCCCAGACCGTCGCCAATAGCCCACTGTGCAGCTCTAGTGCGACGTAAATTAACAACAACAACAGTAAATTTAAACTCCAATTTTAAATTGGGAAAGAAATAATTGATCAGAATTAATTGGAAAGTTATTGCAAGAAATTTTAGCTCTGAAAGGCTTTACTTCCAACGTAAAGTTGATTTTGTTGTTAAAGATTCTTTTGCATCTGATAATTTGAGAAATAATAATACCTCTGAGAGAACCTTACACTAATGCAGCTGAAATAATTTTGTTGATTGAGTACCTCAAATTTGAAGTCTTTGCGTTTATCGTACACAGCGTTAGTGGTTTCGTTTCGTGTACAGCGTATACAGCGATAGTAGCTTTAAATATAATACTGTATATAAATCTAAAACAATTTCTGCAATTTCATCATCATTAGTTTCAACAAAATTTAAACAGTTTAGATAAAATGAATGATGTAAACTTTGAAACTCAGGAAAGTTAATGCAGAAAATATCCTCAGTATATCTGGAACGTAAAATTTTTTCATTTATCTTGTTACATAGTTGTTTTTCATAGTAAATTAAAAATATGTTAGCCATCGTTGAACTAAAATCGGTTCCCATGGGAATACTATTGATTTGTAAAAGTGAAAGATAGTCCATTATTAATGAAGTTGCTGTATAGACAAAATTTTAAAAGAGCAAGCAATTCATCAATACAAAAATTAATTTTAGCTGTGGCATGTTGAACTATATTAGAAATTGCTATTAATGAAAGTTCGAGATTCAAATCAGTAAAAATATTATCAAAATCAAATTTGCTTATGGAAGAGATATCAATACAAATTTTAAGTTTCTCTATCACAATCACCTCCGTACTATTTTGAACTACCCAAAACCATGGATAGTTTCCTCAGTTCAGAACACTATGTAGTTCTTCTGCAATTACAGCAAGATCTATACCAATAATGGATTTAGCACTGGAAATGAAACGAAAGGTTTTATGTGAAATTCAGAGACAGCATAAAAAATTATTGAAATCTGCTTCTGTGTTTTGCATGTACATGTTCTTGTACTTAATGTTTTGATTTATTTACCTTTCGATTTATAATACTTGAAAAAAGGTTTAACACACTATAATTGCTATGGAAAATGATTCCAGTGTTAGGTACTGGCGTTTTACACATGAAGTCAAAATATTCTTAATCTTTTTTATTTTCATTTAGAATTTTTATATTTTAAGTTTTATAGACTCTGTCACACTTAGTAATGTAATTCATACCTGTTGAACTGTGTTTCCGCTTGTATGTTCGAGAATATATTGTAACTCTCGTTCTGAAATTCTCGTATCATCTGCTGGCTTTTCAGCATACAAAGTTAACAGAAGCACGCTGACTAGTAATCCAAACAATCCTAGAAAATTAATATTTACGAAAGTAAAAGAATTGATAGTTTTACGCTTAGGATATTTAATATTCAAAATCGATGTCTATATTTTTAATAAAAAGTTTCTTTATGCAATTCTTAGGTTGAAAACGAAAAATAATTGATAATGTAACGTAATTAGATTAGATAAACATATTTATTTACCAAAAAAATAAAATATTAGCGACCATCCACCATCTAAGTCAATTTCACTAATAGGTCCAGATATTAAACTTCCGGCAAAGCCACCCATTGGGAAGCCAAGATATAAAAACGTAGCAAGATAACCTCTTTCTTGTATAGGAAACCAACGTGCCGATAATTGAGCAAGGGCGGCAGATGGTGGACCCTGTAAAATGTTATATGAGTGCATGAGCTTTTCGTACAAAAATAGTCATTTTCAAGTCTCAATTAATGTAGTTTATGCTTGTTATGCACAATTTTTGAGGTTCAAAAGCGTACACTTGTACGTATTTTATCAGAATAATGAAAATAAGATAATAATTTTTTTTTCTCATTTTAGTCACAAAATACACGTATAATAAGTAATCACAGTTTGAAGTGCTGGAATAAAATAAGTATATTAACTTTTTCAAATACGCACAAAAAGTAAAATTAACAATAAGGGGTAAAAACTTCGGATCACTCTCCTGATCAAACTATGGGGACCATATTTCCCCGATTGGTGCTAACCATATATTTTGGGGGTCAGAAACCCAAAATCGTTGAGAAAATGGTATGTTTATTTAGAGAAAGTACGTTTTTGTGTTTGATTCTATAACTTAAAATATCGTCGGCACTAATTAAATGGTATATTTGAGGTCACTCCCTTGAGCCATTGAGAAAGAGTCTTAAAACGGGAAGATACAGTAATTAGATAAAAAGTTTTTCAATTTGATCCCTTTTATTTGAAATTTAGAAATACAATTTTCAGTGATTAAGTGGCAGACATTTCTATTTTATATGCTAATTTACGAAAAATATGCGTGCAATATTTGATGTAGTCAAAGCCATGCTCCAAGGGAAAGTAAGAGAAGGGCATGACTGAGTTGACCCCATTGGAATTTCTTAGAAAAAATTTTGTGCATATTGACTTGCGTTTTTAAATGAAAATTACAGATAATTTTTTCATGCCTATACTAGCTGAATAACCGTTCTTCGCACAGGATGAATAGAAAAAAAATCATTTAATCAGTACAGAGCAATACAATAAAAACATACACAGAACTGAAAAACATATGCGAACACAAATGAAGAGTTTAGTAGAAGAGTAAGTAAGTGACATTTTCAGAGGTATTTATGAATCAGTGTAAATAACATGAAGTGGTTGCATCTGTAGGGTATGTTTAATGTAACTAAATTGTTTTTGCTTTCATTTTAACCTTAACATAACAAATCCGCATTAGTTTTGAATAAGTTTGCATGGTTTTTATTTTTAAATTGGGCAGTGGTAAATGAAATAATATAAAGATCATTACTCCTCTAATAAATTGGTTATAAAATACTTCGGAGGTAACGATTTTTTTTTCATTTCAAATATCATTTATTTATTTTCTTTTTTACGAACTCATTTTAAAAGAATTACTATAAACAAAATAAGCATGTGGTATATCAGATAACTTTAGAAAAATTTATTTGGTGATGCTACCACGTCAATGCTGTTCACTGAATTTATCCGACATAGCGAATAAAAAATAATTAAACGTCGAAGTACGTGCAATAAACTATTTTTTGATCAAATACAGCTCTAAGCTAGCAAATATCACTGATGATATCTTTTAAATACTTAAAAAATGGTATTGTCCATAGGTAAATTTAAAACAATGGTTAACGCTTAATCAATCAGAAAATTCCATTTCATTTTTCGTTCATTCCGCTGGAACAGTAACTTACACTTACCTGAATCTTTCAACAATATTTTCAAATATTTTCGTAATAAGATTGCCTGATTATAAAATATGAAAACAGAAGAGCAAATAGAGGCTTGTCAAATCAAACGTTTGGCTTCATTGATAGAATATTAGAAAGCACACCTTTTCGCGGATATAATCGTATGAGGTGATGCAGAGATTATATCTTTTAGTTATTTTGTTTCCCAATGAAGAGAGATATCTTTTTTTCCGGATTTTTATTTTTATAAGTTTTTTATATTTATTTATTTTTCAAAAAAATTTCTTCCTTTCTTTTTTCATTATAATGTAATTTATTCCATAGATGACGCAGTGGTCAAGTGACGTGCTCAACTGCATGCACACTGCTTCAACCTGATCAAAGACAAGTGGCTATCAGTGAGATATTTTTGCTTGAAGCGGAAATTGTGTGTAAATATGGGTAAGAGTAAAGATATGATAGAGTGGCCAAAATGGGCAATTGTGTTTGGCTGTGCCAAGGTCATATGGTGGATAAAGTTGCTTAATTCGTTGGCGTTTCAAAGTTGACTGTTCATATGCGTGGCTGTTGATATACGTGGTCACGAAAGATGCCGTCAGAATTGTGGTCGGAAAAAGATCCTGCATGAAAGTGACCGGAGACGTGTTTCACGACTTTTCAATCAAAATCGCTTCCAAACTGGACAGGAATTACTTCAGTTGCTAAATGAAGATCCATCTCAGTCTTTTAGTGAGAAAACATTTTAAATGGAGCTGCATGCCATGAACACATGGAGTCAAACATCTCGTAAGAGGTCACTGTTCACACGGGCACATAAGGCTGCGCGACTTCTGCGGGCTAGAAGTCACCGAACATGGGCAGTAACTGACTGGCGGAATGTAATATGGCCTGACGAATCACGTTTTTGCATTCATTCAGAAGACGCACGTCTGCAAGTGCAACGCAGACCAGACGAAGCATTTCATCCTGACCTTGTGCAAGCATAGATTAAAGTCGGAGGTGGGTCTGTCATGGGTGTTTTTCTTATTATGGATTAGGCTCCCTCACTGAGGTGGCCATTAACAAGATCCAACATGTTTATTTGAAAGTTCTAGACAATTAGGAATAGCCTTTCAGTCACCCTCTTCATGCGAAGTGTGTTGTCGATACCCCTATTTTTCAAGATGACAACAGTAAAGTTCTTGGGGCTGGAAGTATATGTGACTGGTTTCATGAACACTCAGACACTCAATTACATATCGGCTGACCTGCAAACTCACCTGACTTGAACCCCATTGAAAATTTGTGGGACATGTTGGAACAACGGGTAAAATGCCAAAATCAGCATTCTCACAATTTGGTGAATTTGAGCGATCAAATCCTCAACGAGGGGCTTAAACTAGATTCGACGTACTTTCAAAACCTTGTGGTCTCACTTCCTAACCGAATCCAGGCAGTCATCAAATCTAGAGGCGGTGTTACACGTTATTAAACGATCTTTTTCATGACTTCTCTAAGGGTGACTAATTTTTTGTCCGGTGTGCTTATATATATATATATATATATATTATAGAATGCCTCATGCGAGTCTTTCTATATTAAATGATAAGCTTAAAACAGATGTCTCTTTTCAATATTAAGATGTAGAAATCGTTCTCTCTCAAAGAGCCATGAAAAGTCAAGAGGCCAGATAAAAGATTATTTTCTTCTCCTGGCAGGGAATTCTAAGGAATTTCTTCTGTCTTTTCGCTCCATCCATCGGAACTTGTTGAAATATAAGTTAATTCTTTTCATCTTCTTTTTCTGCTTTAGAGAGAGTAGTTACGTTTCAAAAGTTTCCTTCCGCTATTTTTCTTTTTCTGTTTTTTTCGTAGCAGTGAAACGATAAGTCGTTCTTTGTTTTTTTATTTCGAAACTGATTATTGAGTGAGAACGATGAGGTTTTTATTTTGTTTTCGTAAATTCTTTTTTTCTGTGGTCATAGTTTCCAAACAAATTAATTTCAACTGCCGACCTGTAATAATATGCCTTTAAAGGCTAGATAATTCAAGTGAATCAGGCTGATTCAACAAATAGGCATTTTATTAATTTATATTACGTTATTTAAAACAGTGTTCGTTGGATTTTTGCCTGGATTACACTGGCGGGTTTTCCCTGGCAGGGATGTTGGGTTTTGGCACAGATTTATTTAGCCATGAAAATATGATTTGAATGAAATCTATATTGCATGGGATGTAATCCCATGTAATATAGAATATCTCATGCGAGTCTTTCTATATTAAATGATAAGCTTAAAACAGATGTCTCTTATCAATAAAGATGTAGAAATCGCTCTCTTACAAAGAGCCATAAAAAGTCAAGAGGTCAGATAAAAGTTTATTTTCTGAAGTTAATGGGCAATAATTCGTAGATGAAGTACGCATTAAAATAGTCCCCAAAACTCCCAGCGTCAGAATGGCGCCATCCTTTTAGCAAATCAAAATCTCCAAATGTTCCCATTTGAATGACGTTTCATTAAGATAAGGATAGTCTTGCAACCAATCCCCTTTCAGAACCACCGTTTAAGTAGCAGGAACAGCAAAAATTCGTGGCTTTTTTATATTTTCATGGCTAGATAAATCTGTGCCAAATCCCAACATCCCTGTCATAGAAATCCCAACAATGTAATCCAGGCAAAAGTCCAACGAACACTGCTTTAAATAACGTAATATAAATTAATAAAATGCCTATTTGTTGAATCAGCCTTAGTCTCTTGAATTATCTAGCCTTTAAAGGCATATTATTACACATATATGTAAACCACAAACCACGCATGTATAACATTTGCTGATAATAAATAAATTTATGTCTAATTAAAAAAAAAACTATACAATACCTGGAACATTCCTCTAAAAAGTTGTGCAACCGCAAGCAAATATGGATGTATCCTGGCAGCTGCAGGCGATACTAAATTACACAGAGATGCACCTAAAATACTTGTAATTAATATGCGCTTAACTCCATACCGCGCGGTAAGAAAACCTCCAGGTATTTGTGTAAAAAGATATCCTATATATCCAGCACTCAGTATATATCCTTGGATTTCAGGATTCCAATTGAATTCTGGAACTTTCTGCAAATTAAGAAAAATACACATTTAATGAAATTACACGTGTGAGTTTTTTTTTTAATTCGATTTAATATTCATTCCGAATTAGATGGGATTAAGAATGTGTTTAGTATTTATTATTTTATGATGTTTTGCAAACTTAGTATAGGCCGTAATATCGATTCGGTGCAGAGTGGAGTGGGGGAAAGTGCTTCAAGACTTTTATAAACAGGAGATCAAAATTTAGCCTTTTTTGTAAACAAAAAAATTCTTTAATTTATTTCTGATGAACATTTTGTTACGTAAAACTACAATGGATAACCATAACGCGCACAACAGAATGTCTGAGAGAACACGTTTTAAGCATTTCGCTGGAGTGCGAAGATTCAAGATTGGAACTTTAGTAAACTGTTGAAGCTATTAGATTTTATTTATTTGTTTCTTGAGTATGCTGTAAGCTAGATTTTATTTACTTGTTATTATAGCTTATGTAAGCTGTGAGTTAAAATCTGTTGATTCTGTTGCTATGGTGATAATATAGAACGAAGTTTTGTGTAAATAAAAAGCGTTATGTTTCGTATTCTTTGCAAAATGGAGTCTGAATTCATTTAATTTAGTTGATTAAACTAGAGAACTGCTCTTTCTGGTAGAGTCTCGTAACAATAATTCTGAAATTTTCTTATTTATTTATTATTTTGCAGCTCAATATTTTATACTTCCATCTTCAAGCGGTATTGTTTCTTTTCATCTGTATGCGAACTTTTAGCTAATATCAGATATTAAAAAGAAATGGTTTTCTCACATTCTTCAAATAAAAAGTCATGCGTAGAAGAAAAAAAATGCAGTACCATTTTTTTCAGGGACTTTATGCTGCTTCGATTTTTATTTAGAAGCACATTGTTATTTTTATTTGTGCACTGGTTTCGAAGGATTTTGCAGTAATCCTACGTAATTTAAAAAATTTAAAATGTATCAGAATCAATATTTACCGAACTTACTAAACTTGTAGATTCACTTTCTAAATATGAAGTTTCGCAATCTGCTATTGTCCTATTTTTCAAATTCGGCAGAGTAATGCTGGTGTTAACCATTGCTACTATAGCGAAGCTGATATTTATGCGATGAGTCTGTGTCACCATACCACACAAAAAACCTAGCAATGTGACCACATACCGTCTTTGAAAAATTCCATGGCCTGAAAATAGAGAAATAAATTGAAGAAATAATCTGAAACAAAGTAATTGTTGATATATTATCTGTAAAAATCAATTAATGTATCAGAATTGGAAATAAAATATTTATTTGTTGAGCTGTTAACATCCCTCCAAATTTAAAGTATTTTGCAGACTTTACTGTTCAAAATATGCATCAATAAATTTGTAGGTAAACCAACCAGTGAAGGAACACTTCCCAGTGAAGGAACATTTCATATACGAGTATATTGATTAAAAATAAGAATTTGAAAGTTTTTCTGTAGATTGATTGGTAACAATAGCTTACTGGCAAACAAAAGGAAGTCATCTAGCAATGTTTTGGATTACCTGGTCAAATAGACCTATCTGGAAAAATTTTTGAGTTTGTTATTATCACTGCAACACCTTGTTTCTTTGAAAAAATTATAAGGTGAGTGTTTGTATTTATATGTTTGAAGTGGAATTAATTGCATGTAATAGTTTTATTTTTCTCACTGTGAAAAAGAGAATTCAAAATATAGTTATTGAAGTTATGTCTTATTTTTTTTAAGCATCATATCATAATAAAGTACTGAGATAAGGGGTGTTTATTCACTAGATCACCAAACGATGAAAAACCAGTGAAGGAACAAGTGTTCCTTTACTGGTTTTTTTTTCTAAGTTAATGAAAATAAAAGACAAACTTTTATTTTCTTGTTTCTTTTGTGATGTTCCGCATCAAAAGTATGTTAAAAATACGAAAAACGACTTCTAACCAGTGAGGGAACAGGCATGATCCTTTACTGGTCATAGATTTCCCAGTGAATGAACAGTATGTGTTAATATGTTGACACTTTAATTTTCAATTCATGATTACAAAAAAAAGTCAACATTTTCCAAGCACTTATAGGCAATAATTTCAAGAATATGCTTGTTTTTAAATATTTGTATGGCTTATAAATTCATAAAAAGCATTAAAAAATAACCAAAATTAAGTGTTCCTTTACTGGGTGTTCATTCACTGGTTAGAGCTGTTCCTTCACTTGGTCTTCTTACTACTTGCTATTTGAACCTCCAAAACTTTGAAACAATATTATGTCAGTTCTCTAATTTTTTTTACATAATTTGCAATTAGTAACAAATATGTCAACACTGTCATTTAACTAAAATTACGAATTTTGAAATTAATATGATTTTTTAAAAGGCAAGCGAAGCTTGAGTGTTCCTTCACTGGTTAGTTTACCCTACATAAATCAGAAAATATGACGTCTGAGAGGATAATTCTATAAGTCCATGTTTATAAAGTCAGTAAGTTTATAATTCAGTTTATCTGTCACGTCTTTGCTTATTTCTGTACGATTATATTGATGGAATTGAAAAGCAAATCTTCACTGATCTATAGTTTAAGTTGAGTTTTTTTTTAAATTTATTTTTATCTCATTATTATAATTTTGTTTTATTTCAATAATATTCATTCATTTCTTTTCATTTTGTTATTTTTTGATTCGTTTCGATGGGATTTATTTATTCAGGTTTGGATTGCGTGAATTTATATAAGTTTTATAAACTTTAATTACAAATTTTGTTAATAAAGTTTCCACTATTATTACTAATATTATCTATTAGTAAGGTTTGTTAATAAAGTTTCTTCAGAATCAATGTGACAACAAAGTTTTTAAAACGATTTTTATACCTTAAAAAGGCTTCTACATACTTAATCATATTCATGGCCATGAACTTAGGCCATACTTAAGGACAATCCATTCTAACGTCATCATGAAGCTTTTCTAAAAATCTCCAGTAGACCAACGTTTATTAAAAGCAATAACCCCCAGTGCTTTTTCACAACACTTGAAGAAAATGGTTTGTCAATACAGAAAACTTGAAAAGTTAACACTTTACGGTTTTTAATTTAGTGCCTCATTCATATTATTTTGTTTACTTCTGTTGGATTACAATTGTACTATAAGCGAATAATAATTTTTTGTGATTTGTAAATTTAAAATTGAGTTTTAATGCTTCATTTCAGAAAAATTAGTGAATTATGATTGCACTGCGTGGATTTACGTTAGTATTTCAAATTTTTTTCATATAATTCATTTGTGTAGAATTTTTTTTCTAGTTAATGTCAAGTCATTTATCTTATATCTTAGTTTTAATTTAACACCTTTTCTATATACCTTTACCTTAACATTTAGCTTATATTTTAGTTTTGGTACTCTTAAAAACTATTTTGTCATATTTTTCTTTACTCTTATTTATTGAATTTTATTATATGGTAATTTCTGCTGTAAAGAAAAAGTAATCTATATTAATAACTTTCTTCATTTTTTGTCTATTAGTTGAAAAGGATAAATGGTTCGTACCACCCATAAATATTCGCATATTTTTCAATAACATCAGAAGCAGAAACCGTTTGATCGAGTGAAGTCATTTTACGGTGCATTGAAAGAAAAAGAAAAGAAAAAAAAGCACGTCGTTTTTTTATATGACATAACATTGGAGAGGAAACTCTTTAAATATTCTCCGTGCTTTTGGAAGAAAGAAAGAAAGAGCGTGATTTGTTGCGCAAACGATTTTATTAATATTATTAAGTTTCTCTAGTGTTTTCTGAACTAAAAATAAAGACATTTATGCACAGAGAAATATTTAAGTGTTTCCTCTCAAATGCTAGAATATATAAAAAAGGCGACGCTTTTTTTTAACAATGCTCTTCGAAATGGCAACGCTACGCCACGCTACTGCAAAAAACTTAACTACTAGTTAGTTAGATGAGATTATCGTTTTCTTTTATAATTTCAATTGTATTACGTATTTCAATTTATGAAGTCTGTTGTAGTCGTTTGGTTATTTGTTTTAATTTAGTTCTATGTAATGCTTAGATGTCCGGTGATTTTGAAGATAAAGTACATTTTGTAAATCAAATTCCAATTTATTTTTAATATTTTAATTTCTCATAATTTGTTTTGTACATATATTTATTTCAACAGTGAATACAATACGTATGAAATGCATCATTAAACCTTTTAAGCTAATGGAATCATATTGAACATTTAGCTCGCGGCAATTCATATGAAGTTATGAATACTATTGTGAAATTTTTCGACTGCGCAGTTAAATTGGTAGGTAGCGTTAACTATCTAGATGAAAAAGTTGTATCCTAGTAACAGAATACAAATCGATATTAATTTTTAAAAAAAACATCAGTTGATGTTTCTTTAAATTTTCAAAACGTTAAGTAGCGGATTCTTTCCTTTACTTATCGCTTTTTTTTCAATTCTTTTTTTTAAATTTTTTCATTAAAATTAAAATTTTTGCACTTTTTTCAACTTCAAAGGACAAAGTAATAATTACTGAATATTGCAGAAATATAAGCGTCTTACTGCAAAAATTACAAATTTAAAAGCAGCAGCTTTATTATTATTGTTATGACTTAGAAATCATCAGGATTAAAGTTTCGGAAAAATTTTAGAAGAGTCAAAGCTTAGTTTAATTGTTTTTATTTTTTCATATCAAAGTAACAACAGCATTTATTTTGTAAGTAAGGAGAGAAAAACTTTTACTCAAACTGCTGAGTTTTTTTTAATCCAATTCTGAAGGTCAAAGATTTGTATCAGTTGTATTGAAGGATATTTAGAATAAACTATCGTTTTGATGAGTTATTGTTTACAAACATTTATGACGATAATAATAAATTATTGACGATAAAAAAGAAAAAATTATATTCATTTTAATTAAAGATTTCTATTTTAATCTAGAGAATTGATTTAGAGTGCTTTTGATTTTATTATCATAAATTTGCTTCTCAATATTATTACGGTAATTAAAAGCTATTTAAAAGTACATACTTTA